CCCAGTATGATGGTCTTCTCCATAGAGGTTTGCCTTCTCATGAACATGCCCAAAGCATACAGCCTCAGTTTTGTAATTTTTGCTTCCAGGGAAAGTTCTGATTTGATTGTATCTAGGACTTGTCTGAGTTTTTTTTTTTTTTTTTTTTTGTCATTCCATAGTATTCACAAAGCTTTCCTTCAGCAGGTAGGAAACCAGACTACTAAGATTCTGAGCAGCAGCTTCCTTTCAAACTCACTTGATGAACAAATTAATCCTAAGCACACCAGGCTTCCAGGGGTGTTGGTCAATTCCATTTCTGCCCCAATCACTACTTTTGTTTGATTTGCAAGATCATTTCTCAGTAATCATTCTAACAAAGTAGCTGCTCAAAGTGTAGAAAAGGGCAAGAAAGATGATCAAGCAGCTGAAGCAACTCCTTTATGAGCACAGATGACAATGTCAAGGATTGTTTAGCTCAGAAAAAAAGGAAGGTGAGGGGAGATATCACAGAGGTGTACCAAAAGGTGTTGAGAAAGTAGCTAAGGAGACCTTTTCCCCTTTAGAAACCAATGGGATCCTTCCATGAAGCTGATTGGTGGGAAATTCAGCTCAGATTAAATCAAGTCCTTCTTCACTCTGCATATAACTAAGCTAAGCAATCTGTAACCACATGGCCACTAAGTTGGAAGGTTTTGAAAGGATTTAGACAAGTTCATGGAGGATAAGACTATCAGTGACTACTAGCCTTAATGAGAGGCAGAATCATTGCATGGTGCACTGTGTCAGAAGCCCAGCATCTTTTATCTGGAGCCTAGAATCTCTGAGAGATCGCCACCACCATCCTGCTGCCCATGGTTCCCTGCAGAAATACATGTACAGAGACCCCGACGATCTCTGGTGCACCAGATGCCACTGGAGGAACTGGCTTTTTGCTCCACCTCCTGCTGTCCTGCTCATTAAAGCACCCTGCCTGAAAGCTTTTGGGTTTTTTTTTTCTGAAATCAAATGTCCACCACTCCCCTATCCATACATCCCTTTTTACTAATATGGTGCCCTTTAAATATGCACACACAGAGGCTTTAGAATATATCAGAATCAGCATATCCAATGTGTGCTTTGTGTTCTGTGGGCTGGAGGCCAGGTCCTGATGGCTCTGTGCTACCTTCAGCATCAGAGGCATTTTGCTTATGTACAGCAGGTGCTGGGGAACATGGACAGATGAGCACTGCTACACTCTTGTCCTGCTTGTGGGTTTCACATGGACAGGTGTTTGGCTGCTGCATGAACAGAATATTGATCTTATATTCTTATGTCCTGGGACTGCACCCCTTTTGCTACTAATGGGCTCTGTTGCCTAGCTGAAGATTCTTTCATGGCCCATTAAGGGGTGGTGTCACAGGTCTGGTGCTTGGCTCCTTAACAGAGGGCTGGGGGGAAATGTGGAAAAGAGAAGGTCACAGGCATAAAAGCCAATTGAGAAATGCAAAAGTAGTCAAAGGAAAGATGTCCAAGCTGGAGGAAGACAGCTGAAGACAGAAGACTCTGAAGATAGCTGGAGGAAGGTGACTTGAGGGGGTTGTAGCAAATGCTACTCAGTGTCTGTCCAAGAGGACAGACTCCCTTCAGCAGGGATGAGGACCCCCACCACCACCACCCACAGACCTACTAAGGATGAGTCATCACACAGAACTCACCCACAAGCTGCAATCCAGCCACAAAGGATCACCCCATGTTTTTTCTTTTTTGAACTGTTTTTTCAGTGGTGTGGCAGGTGCAGCAGGGGCCTTTTAGGCTGGTCCAACTTGTCTTGATTAGAATGTGAAGCTAGAAGGGGACCAGTGTTGGTCCTGCATACTAGATGAGCTGGCAAAGTGCTGCACTCCAAAGCTTATCACAGAGGCAGCGTTAGGGAGCAGCCCATCGGGGCTGGAACCCCAGAGCCCTGAATCTCTGCAGCGCCATCTGCCCCACCACATTCATGGACACTGGCTGCAGTTAAGGTACAAGGGCCCTGATGACCTCCATTGCACCGCTTTGCTCCTGGCTTTCCTGACATTTTGCTCACAAGTGCTTCACCTCCTGGTGCCTCAATTCCTGAATCGCTCTGCCTGCTGGGTTTTTTCCCCCTTAAAATCAAATGTTTCTCCTCCACTACTCATAGATCCCTTTTTAAAAATGGGGGTGTCATTAGGAAACAGGGTGCTTGAAACTCACACAGAGATATAAAGTGTATGTAAAATAGAATGTGCAAATTTGTGCTCTTTTTTTCCTGAGTGTCTAAGCCCTGGATATTTATACTACCAGCATTCTGTCTGTTGTATCCTGTGAAATGCCTCAGCGTTTGAATAATTCTGTTGTCCAATGTACCCTAGACAAAATCAGGGATTTTTCCCTGTCCTCAATTCTCCAAAGCTGATGTTAAATAGACTGCCAGGTATTGAGCAGGCAACACTGCCACCTTGTGCACAAAAAGGGAAAAACTGCTTCACAGTGGAACAAAATTAAGGCTTATTTAGATTTGTATAGAACATGGGGCCTGTGGGTCGGATCTGGCCCGCCATGCCCATGTATCCGGCCCACATCAGAGGTTTTGGACTCGCCCCGCGTGCACCCGCTGCTGCCTCACCGCGCGCATGGGGAGGCGATGGCTTGCTCGCGCGGATATCGTTTTGGACTCGCTTGAAGAAAATGATCTCCGAGTGAGCAAGCCACCGCCTTGCGTGCCTACCGCTGCCTCCCCGCGCGCGCACTGCCCCTGCCCCCTTGCCAGCCCGCGCGCACCACCGGCACCGCCTTACCAGCCCGTGCGCACCACTGGCACCTTTCAGCTGGCCCTCTGTTGAAAAAGTTTGAGGACCCCTGGTATAGAGAACATGGGTCCTCAAACTACAGCCTGCATATCAGATCCGGCCTGCCTCAGAGGTTTTGGACTCCCTGTGACCGCCGCCGCCACCGCCCGTCTCACGGTGCAGGAGGCGAGGCAGTGGCTTGCTCGCTTGGAGATGGTTTTGGACTCCTCGCATGCACCCGCCACCGCCTCACTGGCCTGTGCCCACAGGCACCACCACTTCACTGGCCTGTGCATTGCCGCCGCCTTTCAACTGGCCCTGTTGAAAAAGTTTGAGGACCCCTGGTATAGAAGATGCAACTGTTTTTCAGCAGCTGACTTCGGGTGCCATCCTATCTATGTTCAGACAGAATGAAATTCTACAAAAGCAGGGCTGATTGAGGAATGTTGGGAGTTGCAGGATAAGTGTAAACGATGCTTTACCCTTTGTGTATTCTGCAGGGGAGTTACACAGGGAGTTGGAGTACTGCTTCTCCTGGGAGTTTTACATTCTCACAATGTGCCAAAGGAACGACTGCCTCAGCTTTGCCATTTTTGCTTCTAGGGAAATGCATATTATTATATCTTAAGTCTAATTAGTATTAGATTAGCATTCCTTTCCTAAAGTTGATTATTAAAATACCTCTCTAGTGCTTCTGTAGGTGAGCAAGAGATATCCTCACATCTCACTCCTACCTCCCAGCAATTCTCGGAACAGACATCCTCCTCTTGCAAGTCCAGTCTTAAGTGTTAAATTCAAATTAACTCTGCCCACCCGCCGTCCATTGAGCATCTCGCATCCCGAACCTGCTGACCAATGGAGGCAAAGCAAAAAACTGAAGGCCAAGAGGCAGGGAAAATACCGACTAGATCAGTTACAGGGAAAAGTAGACACAAGTAGAAAAATAACATACGCGGGTTATTTTGAGGGTACGAGAAGAGACCCGTGGACAGAAAATATAATTTACAGCACGATTCGTACATATGCATTCTAATGAAAGGATCATTGAGTTCAATGGGCTTACTCCCAGGTAAGTGGACGTAAGGTTTCCCGTTCTAGCAACACTTCCGGTTTAAAGGTGAATCGTTATTCCACCACACTGGATAAAACAGCCAACTTTTCAAATTAGAAAAGTGTAGAAAGATGCTTCTCTGTTCCTGTGATAGAACTAAGGCATATGAATAACAGCATTATTATTATTATTATTATTATTATTATTATTATTATTATTATTATTATTTAGTAGAAGGCTTAGTCTCTATTTTACGTATATAGACATATTTCTATATTTCCTCTTTGGGGAGTTTGGTTTTATATAGGTGCGGGGGAATGGGCGGGGGAAGTAACGCTTCTCTTTCTCCGCAAATGGCTGCGTCAGAAGTGATGGCCAATCGGAAGAGCCTGAGCCCAGAAGTAGGTGGGCTCTGACGGTTAGGCGCTCGCGAGAGTGGCGTTGGTGAGATAATTCGAGCCAATGGCGAGCAAGCCAGTGAGGCACCCGAAGCCAATGGGGAGAGCGGGGAGTGGAGCGCGCCAGCAGTTGACTGAGGGTGCCTGCAGGCGGGTAATGGCGGCGCTTTGAGGGAGATCAGCGGGGCGGGGGGCGGATCGGTGCTGGTCCGTCCAGTCTGAAGCGTCTGGCCTGGAGAGGCCCCCATCTGAGAGTTGTTAAGGACAGTTACGACGAACTCGCGTTTATTTTTGGGCTATTAAGAGTCCCCCGTAGCCTTGACAGGGTATGGAGGAGGGGTTTTCGGGGGCAAGGGGGCAGTTACGTTGGCAAGAGTAGAAGATTACTCTTGCAACAGGGGAGATATGTAGGTGAGGAAAGGGGATTTTAGCTGGAGGGCGGCCTTCCTTGGAGAGGGGTGTATTTCAAGGGTAGGAGGCTGGACCATGCTTGTGCATTCTGGAGGAATCAAATATCCAGTTTGCCTTGCAAACCCAGTACTGAGCCTGTAGGTTTGGAAGGAAGTCCCCAGTCATCTCAAAGGAACTTCCTACCCAATCCTTAGTAATTATGTGTAGCATTGGATTTCAAGTGCTACAGTAAGGGACCTGAGTGCTGTACCTTCTCAAGCTCTTTGCTGCTTCCTGTGTGTATGTGTATTTCTTCTATCCCCTTAAACCACATGTAAAAAAGAAGCTGGGATTACAAAACTGATGTTACACATTGGCTGCTGTAACATCATGACCTGCTCTCACAATGTGGTTTTCCTGTTGGATACTGCCAGTTCTGTGCAGAAGCTTCATCTACATCTGGGCACCTTGAGGATCTTGAACTATCTGGGCTGTAGATTTGGCTTGGCTAAGGTCCGGTGGGGATTTAAATTCTTTGACTCCTTAGGAGGACAGGGCAGAGCATCACGGGTGGGTAGTTTACGTGAGCTTGGGTCCCGCAGCTGGGAAGAATTCGAGGAAGAACTGGAAACCAGATTCAGAAGCCGATGCTGCAGTCCTCATTTACCTGGGTCTGTGTCACAAGCTGCCTTCACTGGTAATATACTGAAAGAAACTTTACTTGACTACCAATGGGATCGGCCTGAAATAGCTTCTCCAGCCAAACCAATACTGAGGAACCAGAAAAGCAAGTTTGTTGTAACCCTGGACAAACCTCCAGCAAGTTCCATTCCTGAGGGCTTTGTGAATGCCATTTTCCTCTTCTCTCCCTGCCCTCATTCCCAGAGGGAGCTGCTACACTTCATCTCTGAAAGCCATGTTTATTTGTCTGATGTACTACCTTCTGTGCATGACCTGACAGAAAAGATTGTCCCTAAAGGAATCCAGGAAATGATGGCTAACCAGAAAATCACCCTGTATTGGGTGGACACTACTGAAAAAGTCAAGGTAAGAGGTTTCAACCTTGCCATTATGTGTGCTCTGTTCATCACACCTGCGTTCCTCTACCTCTAGGAAGCATGTATCCTGGAGTTGTGTTTGTATGAATACAGCAACCCTGTGAGATAGGTTAGGCTGAGAGAGAACAGTGGCTCCATGCCTGGTCATCTTGTGAATAAACTAAGGTTCATTCTTTATTTGTATTTAGATCTCCTTAGTACAACACTGTTCACCACATTCTACCATATCTCTCTGATTTTCAGTTACTAACGCCAAGACTACTAGGTTTTTTTCAGTGTCTGTTGTAACATCCTGTGCATTATAATGCATAGTTTATATGCATCCAGTTTACCTCATTTCAGGAGAGAGACAGTTTTGCCTGCGTGCATAATGATACCTGCTTAGGTCTGTTTTTCATATTTATATGTATTACTTGTTTGCCAAAAGCTTCAGAGGCAAATGTGCAAATATTTTAGATAGTATTTTTATTTATATTCTGTACAGTTTTTTGCAAAACACTATTGAGAAATGTTTTTGTCTGTGCCCTAGATATATTTAATAACAGATGGCATAATTGGAATTTCTCAGCTCATAATATTCCCTGTTATTGTAATGCTTCCTTCATGCAGTAGATACAATACATTGACCCTTCACACTTATATCACTGACCTGAGCCTTTATGTTGCCTTGTTTCAGTTTCTTGCATCCCCAGACCACATTGGCTACTGGATGTTGGTTGAACTGATGCAGCTCTTGGGGGGCACCATTTTGCCATCTGAGACATTAATCCAGTATCTACATCACTACAGAACAGGGACTGCTCCTTTTTCACCTGTGGAACCCATGTCCTCTGAGCTACCATTTGGACCATGGACTACAATCCTGCCTTTCAATTCAACTTTGGACTACCTGCTTTCTTTGCCTTCCAGATTACAAACAACTTTCCTTCCTCAAGAAGGAGTGTTGTTCTTCCAGACTGACGGTAATGGAACTAATATGTAGTTAAAGCTAGTAAGGAGTTTTCCTCCATATGAATGTGCAGTCCAGTGCTGTGAAAAGAGGGCTTAGACTGAGAAATTAAACAAATTTATACATTTAAGAGCTTAATGAAATTAACCTCTCAAAACAATATAATTTCTTGCTTTCATGTAGTTGTCCAATAACACTTGTTCTCTGTGTAGCTAAGATTTTTTTTTAAAAAAATCAAAATGAAATAGCATGCTTTGGATCCAGACTTGGTTATATTTACTAATGACCTAGTGAAGTTAATAGGACTCAGGTTAGTTACAATTAGTGATGCTGTTGAATGTTGTAATTAGTTTGCTCGCTGGTCTAACCTCATCTATTTGAAATGCTTATGTTTCTAAGATGCCTGGACTGGAATATAGAAACTCACTATTACATTGAGAATGAATAGGAAGAACCTGAGCATATGCAATTTGTGACCGGGTTTGGAGAACATGCCACAGCTTGTCAAGGGTTAAATGACCTTTGATGTGAGCAGATGCTAGGTTGCATATCAAACCCTAGCCAAGGGATTGTCCTGTCCCTTGGGGAGCATGTATATTATGTGAGACTTACCATGGGTTATGTGAGGATTGTTTATGTGAGGATTGCTTAACCATTGTATAACTGAAGCTTACTAGGTTTGCACAACATGACAGTCACAAAGGCAGTCACGTATGTTTCACATGTACAAAAGCCCCACTATGGGTTAAATAACTGACAGTGGGCTGCTGCTGTTATTCCATTTCCATACTGCCCAGTAGCCAAAGCATTCTGGGTGCTTTACAACACTGTATAAAATTAATAGAATAACAATGCCGTAAAATCTTATAAAAATAAACATTTCAATAGCTAAAATATACAGTGAGTATAACCCTGTTGAAGAAAGACATTTTGGAAGGATAATCCACTCAAACTTGTGGCCTAAAGGACTGTCAACCTGGCATTGAAAAAATTCCAAGGTTGGTGCCAGGCAGGCCATGATGGGAGGTCATTCTGTATTCTGTTACTTGTCAGCAGCTGCCTGAACATGAGCCAGCAGTGTGATGTGGGTAAGAAGGCAAGCACCACCCTTGGATGCATAGCCAGAAGTGTGGCTTCCAGAACTAGGCAGGTGTTAAAACTGCTCTACACGACTCTGGTGTGCCCAAAACTGGAGTACTGCCTCCAGTTCTGGGCTCCACATTATAGGAGAGACATAGCTAGGTTAAAATTGGTTCAGCACAGTGTCACAAAATGGTAGCTGCGTTGGGAGACATGACATATGAGAAGAGATTGAGGGAACTGGCTCTTTTCAGCCTGGAGAAGAGGAGATACCAAGGGGATGTTTTAGCAACTTAAAGGCATGTGAGGGGATGTCATGTGGAGAAGGGCTGTGACCTGTTTTTCCCTGCAGTAGAGGGCAGGGTGTCTTCCAGTGGGGCAAAGCTCAAGGAACCAGGCTTCAGGTTGTATGTCAGAAAGTACTTCCTGATGGCTAGGACCCCTCGGATATGGAATGGACTTCCAGGGGAAGTGGTTGAGGCCCCTTCAGTGAAGGTCTTCAAGGAAAGATTGGACAACCACATGTTGGGGATTACATGAGTAGAGCCGGCTGGAGTCAGACTAGATGGCCTGGAAGATCCCTTCTGACTTGCTTTGTTTCTGTGTTTCTGTAGATGAAGTCCCTCCTTCCTGTCACCATTCTGAGCATCCCTTGGATTTGGTGCTCAGGAAGGCCCTGGATGTTGAGCATAGTGTTTGTAGTATTGTGTTGTGTAAACAGCCTATATATCAAAACCGTACCATCTCTGACAAAGGAGGACCCCTTGACAAAGTGTCCACCAGAAGACACTTTGTCTAGGCCTCTGAACCCTGAAGATGAACCAGCTTTTAGGCATCTGATTGCAACCTAATAGGAAAAAAAAGAATTTCTTTGAAACTCAGGTGTCTTAAATTTTTAACCTAAATGTGAGGGAGTTCATCTTCTACCTAAATATGTAACTTATTGTTTACAATATCTTTCTTATATGGGAAATGTAAATTCCTGAGACTAGTATAAGTTTACCTGGGAGTAATAAACCATTGCTACATATGAATTTGCACTAATTTATTTCAATGCTCCCCAGCCAAGTAAACAAAATACAAAGCTCTTAATCTTTCCTGGTCACTGAGTTACCCAGTTGCTCAGTCTGTGATAAGTTTCTAAGTATCTGTTTGCTCTTCTTTGTAAAATCTTTTCTTAAACCTCAACATTGGTGTTTTTGCCTTGAACAGGAGCAGAAGAGTCACAAGCCTGTGCTGTACTCTTGGAGCCTTTAACCGTGAACCAGAAGTGCTTCACAAGCCCAGCCAATATTTATCTTAAAAACACTATGACAGGTTGGGACTCAGTGCATGCTGGGAACTTCTACACAGAGAGCTGGGTACTGCGAAGCCCACCTGCAGGACTGATGGCTCAAGACTCTTTATCATTTCAGCAGTTTGTAAAATACATCCTGGCCCAGGGATTACATATGGTATGTGACCTTTTTGTCCTAAATAAGTCCTCTCATCTGGTCAGAAAGTGCCAACTAGTCTCCAGTATCTGTTTCATTTATAGCCCACATTGGTTAGGAGGTAAATAAGAGATAAACGTAGATTGGATTCCCAAGGCCTTCCTGCAGTAGCCAGTCTTGCACCTTTCTTGGCTTCAGGCATGGAATCACATTTTAGCCCTGGTCTCTCATCTATCTTATCATTCAATATTCTGTTCATCCCTCAGAAGTGCTTTTCTGGTTTTTCTGATCTACAACTACTGAGACCAGAGTTGTTTCTTGACTTCCTTGGTAACAACCAAATTCTTTTCTTCATATTTCACTTTTTTTCTATTGGGTCTGTGATATTAGTCCGAACACCTTTTTGATGATTAAGTAGTTGCCTGTTTGAGGGCATTTTAAAAAGAAGTTAACTCTTGAAACTTACTAAAGCAGTAGATAGCAAGTAGACGGCTTTAAAGGTGGATTAGACAAATGCATGGCAGAGAAGACTGTCATCCATGACTTGGTTGTGGGTTTCCTACCAGCACCTACTATACAGGTTTAGATAGACCCTTGGCCTGATGCAGCTTAGAAGAAGCATCCCCTCTTCCTTCTTGCAAGGGATTGCTCCTGCTAGAGAGGCAGTGTGGTATAGTCGTGAGAGTTACAGTTCCCCTCAGCCATGAAATTCATTGGGTGATTTCTGGCCAGTCACTGATTTTTTCAGTCTGGCCTCCCTCACAAGGTGTTTGCTAGGAGGAACAGAGGGGAAACTTGTAAGCCTCCTTGGGTTCCTTGTAAGAGAAAGAAAGGTGGGGTTTAAATGTAATGTGATAATATTATTGCTTTTCGTGATCTATGCACATTTGGTTTTTTTGTCTGAATATTACTTCTATTTCAGAACTGTTGTTCCACTCATATCTAAATACGACATGCAAATTTAACTCATAGAATTAACTGGCTAAGAATTTCCTTGGTCAGTGACATTATTTTCATTCTTATCTGAAAAAAAGCCTTTCTGGATTTTTTTTTTTTAATGGCTGCAATATGGTGCAAGCATGCTCCCACTTAAACTCCATTGTGCCCAGTGGTGAATAAGCAGATGTTTGGAAGGATAACAGAACTTTTAAAAAGCATAACTGTCTGTCTTGGGTCCGGTGGTATATGACTCGCATAGGAATAGATAGCATCACTGGTAAACTTTAGCAATAATGAAGTTCTGGGGCTCAAAGTAACACCCATATTCTATGGAGAAGCACTGAAATAGCCTGTTACTTGCATTCTCATTACTACAGCTGACTTTGAACTGAGTAATCTTTTATAGTCAATATTTAGATTGCAATCTCATGCACGTACTAGGTTCCATTTGCTCAGATGGACTGATACCTGAGTGAACATATACTGGATTGTCCTGATGTCTTAAAGTTCTTTCAGCGTGAAGTGTTAATTTTTCAGAAGTAGTTTTGGTCTGCCTATCTGATTCCCTTTATTGTTTTTGTGATAGCACAGTGGCTTAGGGATGCTGGATGTGCCAGCCCGAAATGGTTGACATTCTGGCAGTTCAAGCCCAGCACTGCGTGATGGAGTGATCTCCTGTCATTCATCTCTAGCTTCTGCCCACCCAGCAGTTTGAAAGCATGTAATATCACAAGTAGATAAATGGGTACCACTCTGGTGGGAAAGCTAGCTGCATTTGTGAGGAGAATGGGAGCTGGCACTCAACCTGTCCAGACACAAAGGTGATCGGTGGAAGAAACCCAGATGAGCCAAAAACCTGAACATCAGCTGGTCTGTGTGTGTGTGCATGCATGTGGAGTTAGTTTGGCCCCTGTGGTGCATACTGTATAAATGCACAAGAATGAACTAGAAATTGTAGACAGCCAAACAGTAAGCACTGTAGACTTCTGGCTAATTGTTCCATTGCCATATACAAAATAATAATAAAAAATTATTTCTGTTGCTCAGGTTGCTGAAGTGTCTCCATCTGGATCCTGTTCTCCGTGTACAGGGATTCTCTCTCCTATCTCGGACACTGCTGCAGTTCTCTCTCTCCTCTGGGCTGAGAGAACTGCTGAAGTTGAGAGAACCCTGTTTCAAACACCTGTGGAAAAGAACCTTTCCAAAGATGATAGCTTCAGCCTCCCAGAAATTGTGAGCAGTGTGCTAAATCAAGTTGTTGGTGACTCAGAAGGTTGTCTTACAAGTGCTGGTAAGTTCACTTGCTTGTCAGTTTAAAACAATTGTTTTCAAACATCTTTAGGGAACTGCTTCCATATGGTTTAATCTGCTGAAGAACTCTCCTGCATTTCAAAGAATTTGCAGAGACATGGAAAAAGGATAGATCTGATTATAGAATAGTGGAATTGGAAAGGGGCCATGAAGGCCATCAAGTCCAACCCCCTGCTGTTGCTGGACACTAAGTTACACCATCCCACTCAGGTGGCTGTCCAGCTTCTTTTTGAATGTCTCTAGTGTGGAAGAGCCCATGAGCTCTCTAGGCAGCTGATTCCACTGTCGTATTGGTCTGACAGTGAGAAAGCTTTTCCTGATGTCCAGCCTGAATCTGGGATGTTGCAACTTGAATTGATTATTCCATGTCCTACACTCTGGCATCAGCAAGAAGAGATCTTGACCTTCCTCTTTGTGACAGGCTTTGAGGCACTTGTAGAGGGATATCATGGTCCCCCCCACCCCAGTCTTCTTTTCTCAAGGCTGAACATGCCCAGTTCTCTCAGTCTCTCCTCATAGGGCAGTGTTTCCAAATCCTGGATCATTTTGGTAGCCTTCCTCTGGACCCTTTCTAATTTTCCTGCATCTTTCTTAAATCTTGGTAACCAGAACTGGGCACAGTATTCCAGGTGAGGTCTGACTAGTGAGGAGTACAGGGGGACTAATACTTGTCATGATTTAGAAGTAATACTTCTGTTAATGCATCCCAAAATAGCATTTGCCCTTTTGGTGACCACATCATATTGTTGGCTCATGTTTAGCCTATTGTCCACAATTACTCCAATCTTTTTCTTTTTCAGTTTCAGCTGTGCTAGAAGGAAGAGATAGAATAGACCATCTTTGGAGTGTACCTATTCTTGTGGTTTAAAATGGGTGGCAGACTGTGTGTGTGTGTATGTGTGTGTGTGTGTTGTCCTTTGTATCATGTCCTAAGAGAAGAACATTTAGATCAGATTTTAAAGAGATAATTGTTAGAGCTCTGTACATGGAAGTGTAACATAAAAATAAGGATGGCACGTTTTCTAGTTACAAGTGCTAGAAAAATTCTTAAAGGAAAATGGTTTGCCTTTTCAGTGGGATTCATACCATGAGCAATGTTACATAATGTTTACACATTTGTTTGATTTTACTAATTTCAGCTACAAATCTGGAACTTGACATTCATTCTTACATGATTTAGTTTCAAGTTACTTTTATGTAAATACACACACACACACACTGTGTTGATACCTAGTGCCTTTTATTGAACACTTTGTCTGATGACTATATACAGATAAAGAAATCCCCATGAAAAGAATACTGCTCAAGACTGCTGTGCACTTCTGGTGCTGACTTGAACTGAGAGAATGACCTGAAGTGTACTCTACTTTCTTAGAGCTGCAAATTTCCAGAGAAGATTGTTAATGAGGGGAGAGCCATCCTGTAAGATGACTTGACTGCCACTCCAGATCTTCTCATTAATAAGCTTCCAAGGAGCCCAGGCTTTCCTAGAATACAGCTTTAAAAACATTGGGTGTTCTTCCTTTCAAAACTAAACTATGCTTTAGAAGCAAAATCTATCTAATATTTGTGATGCCTTGATTTGAGCCTTTGCTTTTCTCTAATCTTTGTTTGTTGGGGGCACAGCCATATTGTCTGAAAATGCAATCTTATGTAAGATCTATTGAACTCAGTGGGATGTAAACCAATATATTCAAGACTGGAGACAGCCTTTACTCCTCATAAAGCCATTGATTACTATTTAGTTCTAGTTGTAGTTACTTAGTATTTAATTATGTTCTGTCTATGCATGCCCAGCAGAGCCTTTATTTCCAGAGTGGGCCCAGCAAGAACTATCGCACACATACCACTGGAATCCTGCAGTGACTGAAGGCTGGTACTCTTTTTCAAACCTCTGTGGAGCAAGTTCACAGCTGATGGAATCGCTGAGGTACAGTTCTTGTCTTGATCTTCAAAAGCCATCTGATTAACATAAAGGAAGGGCAGCACCAGGATCCAGAATGCTCCATAATTAGCTGATCCTATTAAAATACATCTGATTTTGATATGCCCAATTAGATCATCTTTTCTTCACATAGTCTTTCCAAGTTCAGGAGAAGATTATAATTATGACAATGAATTTTTGAAATGTAAGGTCTCCTTGACTAGGCAGATTTTAATAATGCCCTAGGCTACACTGAAGGTCTAACTTATGTGTACATAACACAGAATGTGAGCCCATAAGAAACACAGAAACATAGAAACAGAGCGAGTCAGAAGGGACCTCCTGGGCCATCTGGTCTGACCTCCGGCACCAGCCGGCTCCGCTCACGACATGCCCACCATGTGGATGTCCAGCCTATCCTTGAACACCCGCACCGATGGGGCCTCAACGACCTCTCGTGGAAGCCCATTCCACACCCTCGGGGTCCTAACTGTCAGGAAGTGCTTCCTGGCATTCAAATGGAACCTTGGCTCCCTGAGCTTTGCTCTATTGGAGTGTGTCCTGCCTTCCTCTGCAGGGGAGAACAGGTCTCTACCCATCTCCACGTGACACCCCCTCACATACCTGTATGTCGCCAACATATCCCCTCTGAGTCTCCTCTTCTCCAGGCTGAAGAGACCCAGTTCCCTCAGTCTCGCCTCATACCCCAACCCCTGCAAACCGACCACCAACCTTGTGGCCCTACGCTGCACTGACTCCAGCCTGGCTATATCCTTTCTGTAATGAGGGGCCCAAAACTGAGCACAATACTCCAGTTGTGGGCGCACCAGTGTCGTGTAGAGTGGTAGTAATACCTCTCTTGATCTAGAAGCCACACTTCTGGCTATGCAACCAAGGGTGGCGTTCGCCCTCTTGACCACCGCATCACACTGCTGACTCACGTTTAGCCTGCAGTCAACCAGCACCCCAAGGTCCCTTTCACAAGTGCTGCTCTCCAGCCACTTGTCACCTAACCTGTACTTATGACAGCTATTCCTATGCCCCAAGTGCAAGACCTTGCACTTATCCACATTGAACGCCATCCTGTTGTCTCCTGCCCACTTCCATAGTCTGTCCAGATCCTTTTGGATCTGGAGTACCTGCTCCTCAGTTGTGGCCACTGCTCCAGTTTTAGTGTCGTCCGCGAATTTGATCAGCTGACTGTTCACCCCTTCTTCCGTGTCGTTAATGAAAAGATTAAACAGGATCGGCCCCAGGACAGAGCCCTGGGGGACCCCACTTGTCACTGGCTGCCATCCCGATGATTCCCCACTAATGGCTACCTTCTGCATTCAGTCAGTCAACCATGCCCTAAACCACCGGACAGTGCTTTGGTGTATCCCAAAACTCCTTAGTTTCTCCACCAGGATATCATGGGGCACTATGTCAAAGGCCTTGCTGAAATTCAGGTATACCACATCCACTGCATCCCCTCCATCTAGCCATCGCGAAACCTTGTCATAGAATTCCACAAGGTTTGTCTGGCAGGACCTGTTTTTGTGGAAACCGTGTTGTGTGGCTGTCAGCCTCCCTTCCCTATCTAGCATCACTAGAACTCTCTCTATTATGAGCCTTTCCATTGTTTTTCCTACAATGGACGTAAGGCTAACCGGTCTGTAATTCCCCACGTCCTTTCTACTAGTCATTTAGCATCTGTGCCTGTTCCCTCATATCAGTCACTGGATCTCCTTCCTCCTTATTTAGTGATCCCACCACTTGTCTCCCCTTCCTCTTCCTATTTACATGCTGAAAGAAGCCCTTTTTGTTGCTCTTGATATTCTTGGCAAGTGTCAGCTTGTAATCCGCCTTAGCCTTGTGAAGAATCCTTCTGCAACGGGCCTCTTCCTTCCAGTATACCCTTTGTCTATTTCCCCCAGTACCCATTTCCTACAGAGGTTTCTCTTTCATCTAATCCCTCTAACCACCTCCTTTCGCATCCATGGCGGCACTCTCCTCCGCCTCCCCACCTTACTGACTAGAGGTATCATCAAGGCTTATCGTCAAGGCTTGCACCTCCAAAACCTCCCTTTTGAGTGCTATCCACCCCTCCTCAACTCGCTTACCTTCCAGTAACCTATCCCAAGAGACTTTCCCCAGTCTGGCCTTCAGTTGGCCAAAGTTGGCCCTCTTGAAGTCCCAGCTTCTAGTGCTCGACCTGCTGCATGTCCCCAGTTCCCTGATCTCAAAGCAAAGGATGGAGTGATAACTCGCATCCAGAGCTCCCCTAATCTGTACTTCATCTATCAGCTCCTCCCTATTGGTCAAGACGAAGTCAAGGATGTTTCCCCCCCTTGTCACCTCTCGGACCCTCTGTGTGAAAAACCCTCCCTCTATAGCTTCTAGGAAGCGACGTGACCTGGCTGTCACTGCCGAGTGAGTCTCCCAAGTAATATCCGGGAGATTGAAATCTCCCATAATTACTGTGTCTCTCCTGTCCCTTCCTGGCCCAAATCCCCGGACAGGTAAGATCAACGAGAAGGCCACTTGGGCCTTTAGCTCCCTGAGTTTCTTCCCCAAGGCCTTGAAGTCCCTGGTAATCCCAACCACACCCTGCCTGGCCACATCATTTGTGCTCACATGGATCACCAGGAGCGGCTGGTGACTCCTGGAGCAAACAAGATGCTCCACTCTGTCCTTCACATGCTGGATGCATGCGCCCAGCAGGCAGCAAACCTCCCTTGCCTCCAGGTTGGGGCGGCACACCGCCGCCTCAGTGCCCCTCAGCAGCGAGTCCCCAACAACAATCACCCCCCACCGTGCCTTCCCGGTGCTGGTGGACGGCCGTGCCCTGGCCCTCGCCTCTCCTGCAGCAGCCCCCTTGCCGCCTGTCGTTCCAGGCTGGGGGTCCTGCCGGTCCCCCAAAGCCTCATCAGCCCCAGCCTCCCCAAGTGGAGAGAACCTGTTTCCCAGCTCCAGATCGGTGCCAGGAGAAGGAGGAGGCAATGCTGACCTCCTCCTCCTGTGGGTGACATACCTCCATGTCTCCGCAGCTGCTCCTCCCGTGGTCTCTCCCTCCACCCTCTGTCCAGAGGGGGGCTGCTCCTGGGGGGCCTGGAGAGCTCTCTTGGCCCTCAGGCACCTCACCTCCTAGTAGGGTCACCATCTTGCACCGACAGCAAGTGTATCCCTGCCTCTCCTGGGGGAGAAGGGCAAACATGTCGCAGCTCTCGCAGCGGACAGCAACACCCATGACTCCCGCCAAGGCCATCTCTTGGTCTGCCATCGGTATCCCTTCCGAGACCTTACCTTGGTCCCCTGCCTTGTCTGTCCTGCAGTTCCTCTCACTCGCCCAGTTCTCCCAGACAAAAACCCACTCGCACACAAACACAAGGATAAAATAAACTTTAATTTAAATTGGAAGAAAAACAAAGCAAAGCACAGCACAGCATAGCATAAACAAAACAAACAAACAATCAATCAAACCTCTGTGTCTCAGAAAAGGGAGTCTTCGGACAGCCCGGGCCGCAGCCAAGGGACGCAGACAAGGGACGACGCCTTATCAGTCCCTCAGGCTGGTGCCCCCACCTGTCTGCGTCCTCCTAGCCCCTCTGGCCCCGCCCCCTTCCTCTCTGCTGCTCCTGGCCCCCTCTTTCCCCGCCCAGCTCCTACCTTGCCTTTGCCAGTCCCTTGGCCACTCAGCACTCTCTCCCAGCCTGTGCCTCTGCTGTTCTGCTGCTCTGCCAAGAGGCCAGAGCCAAAAGGGTGGCAGTGGCTGAGCGCGGCCTTATCAGTCCCTCAGGCCGGTGGCCCCGCCTGTCGGCTTTCTCCTGGCTCCTCTAGCCTCTCTGGCCCTGCCCCTTCCTCTCCGCTGCTCCTGGCCCCCTGCTCCCTCCCGGCCCCTCTGGCCCTGCCCCTTCCTCTCCGCTGCTCCTGGCTCTCCGCTCCACTGCCCAGCTCCTACCTTGCCTTCGCCGGTCCCCTGGCCACTCAGCGCTCTCTCCCAGCCTATGCCTCTGCTGCTCTGCCAAGAGGCCCAGATAAAGTTCATTTTTTAAAAAAAGTAGTTTTCAGAATTTTACATTATGAAATGCCCCTTTTCTCTTATATATGCACTTTGAACCCAAAGTGGCTTGTCAGACTTGTACAGGTGCCATATCCGAGCTAAATAATATAAGAAGAATTCAACTAGGAGCCAGCAGTATGGGTTGCCAAAAAGCTCTTGTTTGCATTTAGGAGGAACAATAGCAATCACGTTTCTTTTGACAAGATTCCTTTTCTGTACAGATTGCTGGAGGCAAATCCTGCTATTGGGGAAGAAGAGGCCTCAGAGCCTGAAGGGGAACTGATGCGGTGCCTATCAGAATTTTATCAAAGGAAAACCTCTGATCTCTCCACTAGATCTCATCAGCAAGATCATAGAAAGCGATGTATGTGAGAGCTATGACTATCCATAGTTCCTGTAGTGGTGGACAGCAAAAGGGAAAAGGGGAGAGAGGTCAAAAAGCCAAATATACCAGCATATTTTAGTTTAAAACTCGTACTGGTCTTTACTTAGCCTTAGGAAAGGACTTTCAGCGTTTTAGAATAGGGCAGGGAGAGGGCAAACTGAGGCTCGTGAGCTGCATGCAGCTCTCTGAGTTTATTTTATGGCTCTCAGAGGGGCTGAAAAAGCCTATCGTATAGTAGGTCCCTCTTTGCCTCTGGCATGGAACAGGGATGTAACAGAACATGCCTGATTAGGCAAGGTACAGAATTGAGGCTGAGGTTGACATACAAAATCGGGCTGCTTCCTTGTTGGATCCTGGCGGAGCTGAGGGGACCATGCGACAGCTGCACTGCAGGGGAGGATTGGGTCCTCACCAGAGCTTCCAGCACAACAGCTGGTAAAAAGGTTTCTGGCCTCTTCTACTGCTGGGTGATGTATTGCTCCCGAGATGGTAGTGTGCAGCCACTCAGTTTCCTCCAATATTCAGAACTAAAAAGGGAATAGAAAAGCCCCACTCCAAAAGGTTTTTAGTCATTTTGGCTTGAATACATAGTCGTACCCTAACAGAAGTTTACGCAGCAATAAGCTTCAATGTTCAGTGGCTCTTACTCCTAGGTAAGTGTGCTTAGGGTTGCATTAGCTGAAATACATGTTAATCGATTGGTTAAGCAATTTTGTCAGAAATGTTCAATGACTGACAGCCAAGATGGAGACTCACAAGACCTCTACTAGCAGTGACTAGCCTGATAGTTGTATCAATGTCTGGTCAGAATAAACAAACAATAATAATAAATACTTGTTCATGTCTTGCGGCTCTCAAACATCTGACATTTACTGGCCACACCAAGACTAGAAGAAAACACAAAAGTCAAGAAACCATCAGATGATTGGGGTAGAAGTGGATGGGACCTGGGAAAGGGTCACAACCATGTGGGGAAATCTAGAGGGTGGATTGGGGTCCCAGATGGGCCAGATTTGTCTGACAGACCTAGTTTAACTCTTGCGGTCACTTGGGTAGCAGTGGTCCTCTGTGATTCTGGCTAACTCCAGTAATACTCATGCTCTTGATTTGGACAGGTGGAGTTCCTCGGACCCCTGTGAGGCAGAAAATGAAGACCATGTCTCGCTCCCTTCAGATGCTGAATGTTGCAAGGCTGAATGTAAAGGCTCAAAAGTTCTTGCCCGACGACAAGCCATCAGTCAGCAAGAAAGTTTCCCAAAGGCTGCAGTCAAGAAGATCAGACCATAAATTAGAAGAAAGGGTGGAAACAATGAGAACCAGGATAGGTATGTGCAAGATAAAGTCATCTGCCCACTTGTGTTTGGAGGATGCAGGAAAAAGATTCTGTAAGAAAAATAATGGACATGTGTTAAGATAACGAGGTAGGTCAAGCTGACTATGTTAGAATATTCTATTTACAAGGGGGCATGGGTAGAACATAGGATCCTTGGTGCTGCTTCTCCAGCATGGACACAAGAGCAGTTGATGAGCTGGGGGTGCTTCTGGGTAGCTGTGGTAACTGAACTGCATCTTATATTGACAAAGTTTTTAAAGCAAGGGCTGCGTACTATAAAATATGCTATTGCTGTTTAGTACTATAGTTTAAGATCAGGAGGACATGATGTGCCTATGCCAAATTCATGCCTTTAGTCTGTGTATCTGTTTTACAGGCTTCAGAACCGAAGAAGAGATGCTTTCCTATATAACTGCAAACTATCAGAAGGCTGTAATTGATGGAGAAAATGTCTCCACCTATGCCCAGGATATGATGACGGCTGTTTATACATTTCAGAAAGCCAATGAAGTAAGACAAATAGGCACACCTGTCTTTGCTGCTTGCAGAGCTTTTCCCCTGGTATTTTAGCAAGAGGCACATCTTAAAAATGACGTGGTTTCATGTTTTTACCATTCAAAGCAGGAGTTGGCAAGCTGCAGCTCTCTGGATGCTTTGACCTGCTACTTCCATCAGCCCTAATCTATGTGCTGGCTAGGGAATTGCGGCCTTGCAAATATTTTGACCTGCAAGTTTCCTACAACTTGCTTAATGAGTACAGGAATGAATAATAAAGAATAAATCCTGGTGAGCTTATAAGTGCATACAGAACTTACCTGTGTGGCCAAGTGGTCACTGGTGGTCAAGGAGCAGCACCAGCAAGGTGTTTTTTCATTGGTTGGTGTGTGTTTGTGGAAAACCTACAGACCTGCGAATTCTTGTCAGATGCCATTTTCTCAGTGAAAGGTACTAATTTGGATAGTGGTTGTAAAGTTGTCTCAAAAAGCAGAGCTTCTTCCTAGGAAGGAAGTTGAGTTGTGCATTCAATTAGTGATCCCTACATAATGTGTTTTGGAAGTGTATTGCACTAATAATATTTTGCTCCATTCTCATTTCTTTCTCTTGCTTCGCCCAAATCATCAAACTAGGGAACTACTGCTTGCACGCCTCATGAGGGTTTATGTAAAGGGAAGCCCATTTCAGCTCTGTCCTACCATAATAAATTGTGGAAACTACAACTACCTCATTCATTGTAGCAATATTTCTGGTGTGTTTGATCTCTCTTGTGGGAATTGTTGTCTGTTTTAAGGGGCCAAGCTAGATTGTGCATTAGATCTGGGAATATGCTCAGTATATCATCTTTTTTGTGCTAAATCTTGCCAACCAGGGCAAATGCATATTTTTGTAGATTTCAACACTGTTTGATATACCTTGTAATTATAACTGCAGCTAAAAACCATTGTCTTTGGTTGTGCAAGCATGTCCTAAATGCAGAGATATGATACTAATTTTATTTCTGTTAATAATAAATAAAACAACCTGCAATAAAATGTTGCAGTGTGGAGTAGATATTCCATTCTTTTTCCTCACACTCAATATTCTGTGGCTAGTGAGCATGCTCAGCTGTTTGAGAGGGGTGTTTCCTGCCCTTTTAAAAGGTTTTCCTATAGATATTTTCCTGTGAACCTTGGGTTTCTCTTGAGATGCCTCCTCTCTCTTGTATTTCTGTCTTGGTCTTGGCTACAATCATGACAGCATTTACCAGCCTGGTTTGCTCAGACAGTTCTCTAACTATGATGTATTATAAGTACTTTGTATTCCTTGACAAGGAAGAGTTTATCCAGTTCCAAATCTCATCTGGAGGTCAAACCAGACTCTGTTTCACATTGTGACATTGTCCATAGCAGCTGTCTGCAATGTGTCAGACTTCAACTCCATCAGCTCCAGTCACCCTGGCTATTGGTTAGGAATGCTGGGAGTTGTAATTCAGTGTCTGAAGGGTCCCAGATTGAGGAAGGGCTGTCTACCAGATTTGAACATGGAATACTCAAATCACATTTCTGAAAAACACTGAACTATACAAAGATGTTAAGTCTGCGATGCGGTGTGCAGTTACCTCAGAAAGTCCCATTAAACTTAAGAGAGTCGCTTCTACATTGGTGTATGTAGATCACACTATACAGGGCAGGAGTAGAATTTACTTTTCCCTAACAGACAGTATAGTTTGCTATTGCATAGTATTCCTTTCCCCTCCTTCTGATCAAACATTTGTTCCAAAGGGGAAAAAACTATCTTCTGTCTTAACCCTGTTGCTCTTTGGTTTTTGCCTGGTATCAGTCTTCCCAAAAAAGCATTACTTTTGCTTGTTCAGTTGTACTGTACAGCTGTGTGAGCAGTTCTTTCACTGGATACTTCTAGAATGTTGTTTGTCCTTACTCCACCTCTGTTTTGTGTCTACAGACAGCCTGTATGGATACAATCCGAAGCAGTCTCCTGAAGACTGGCAAAGTCCTCCGGCAACAGCTTGGCCATGATCCTGATAAGGAACTCAAAGAGTATGAGGCACAATATATTTCCAAAATACTTGGTTGTGAAGTACTCTTCTGTAATGCTTAGACTATTTTTTAAAATTCCTTTGTGTGCTATTGGAGTGCTACAAAATAGCTATTCACCTTTCTTGCATTATTTTCAAAGTGGATTGCTTTCTTGACACAGCCTTCCCATTACCCCTAATGTATAAATAACTTTTTAAATGATACTTTGTTTTATAACCTATGTATACTATGTTTCAATGTTAATGATGGACAATAATAAACCTTAACAGGCAGGTCATATTACCCTCAACCAGAATACCAGTTGTAATCAGTGATATTATGTGTTCTGGCTCTGTTCCCCCAAAAGGAAGGGGTGTGTTTATGGAGGGGGTGATTTTATTTTTGAACTGACTTTCATCAAAAAGATGACAGTGGTTTACAAAGCACAACAAAGCATATGACAAATATCCATAATTCATTAAGACAGTACTAAGAATCAGTGTCCTAGAATGCCCACATTATTAGATGACTATTTACTAACCAGTGGAGCATCTGCATTGTTGATCCTGTAAAACTGTAAAGGGAAATAATTCTAATAATTTGGGGCCACCAGGGAGAATGCCCTTCTTTCAGTTGCTGTAAAATCTATCTCTGCCAAACACTGGAAATATTCTTCTGAAGCCTCTCCCCAGATAGTCTTGCAGCTCTGAGCAGATAATATAAAAACTGCAGCAAGGAATAGCTTCTCTCTCTCCCATCCTTTCTTTTTCAACAGGTGCCAGCTTCAGGTATACTTGCGGCTGGAAATGTGTTTGCAGTGCCCTTCTTTTCGAAACAATGCAGATGAAATGGAACAACTTGTAGAAGAGGTAGATAAAAGAAGTCTGGGCTATGGGTTTCAAAAGCAGAAAACAGAATTCTGAGAGAAAGTGATGCCTTTGCATCTGATTTGCTCTTCACAGCAGCTTGCTGTCTCTGTGTCACCTAATTTGAACTACATTTCTCCACACAACTGTCTTGTAGATAACAGAGATGCTGCGGATTTTGTGTTTGACTAAAGACCCAGGATACCTCACCAGTCTTTTAGAGGAAATTGTAGAAACGTGAGTGCTTTCATGTTGTAGGAAATTTGCAAGTTTTTCATTTACAAATGAATGAACACAGTGGGGAGGGGGGAACAGTATAGATAATATTTTGCAGATGACTGGAGAGCAGCCTGATTATTAACACAGAATTTGGTTGGGTGCATGAGCTACTGGGTTAACAGCTGTCTATTGTATTATAGTTTATTTGTATTATAGATAATTATAGCCTTTCTGGTTTAGAAGCTGAATAGTATCAGCAGAAATCTCAAAAGCATTAAAATAACCTTTGACAAAATGGGAAAACTGGGCCATGTTACCAAAAAGGAAAAAAAACCCTGTCCCTGTATTTAAATAAATAGCTGGGGAATACTGTGTCTTTTTCTCCACAGCCAGCAGATTTGGCACTTCATGCATTTTTTAAAGTTGCAAAAGAGAGAGAGTACTTCCATAGCCAGGTTACTTAGCAGAGTGTGGATGTGGTTTTATATGACTAGTCAAGACTCAGATTTGTAGCACATCACATCTTTTAGAATATCAAACTTTGCTGTTAATGCCTTACTCACCATTTTAAGGACATTGACTTCAGTAATTTTATTTATTTATTTATAACATTTTTATGCCACATCCATCGCAGAAAGCCTCAGGGCGGCTTACAAGGCAGATAAAACATAAAATAGGATAACATTAAAATTTTGGAGTATCTCGGCCATAATTTAAAACCAATAAATAAAAACAACAAATTAACAATTAAAATATCATTTAAATAAAAAGGTCTTGGCCTGGCGCTGAAAAACAAATGACGGTGCCAGATGGACCTCCCTGGGAAGCGCATTCCATTGGTGGGGCACCACTGCAGAGAAGGTCCTCCTCCGGGTACTCACCCTCCTAATATCCTTCACAGAGGGCTCCCAGAGAAGAGCCTCCTCCACCAATCTTAAGGGGCGGGAGGGCATATATGGACGCAAGCGCTCCTTTAGATAACCAGGTCCCAAGCCATTGAGGGCTTTATAGGTGATAACCAACACCTTGAATTGGGCCTGGACTTCAATGGGGAGCCAGTGAAGCTGACGGAGAACTGGGGTTATATGAGCACAATGCCAGTGCCCGTCAGCAACCTGGCAGCTCTGTTTTGCACCAATTGAAGTATCTGGACTGTCTTCAAGGGCAGCCCCACGTAGAGCGCGTTGCAGAAATCTAATCGGGAAGTTACCAATGCATGTGTCACAGTCACCAGGCAGTCGTTCTCCTGGTAGGGACGCAGCTGATGGATCAGCCGAAGCTGAAGGAAGGCGCTCCTCACCACTGCTGTTACTTGAGCTTCTACTGATAGCTCTGGGTCGAGGAGCACTCCCAAGCTGCGAACCCTGTCCCTAAGAGGGAGTGCAACCCCGTTCAGGACAAGGGCCAGGTCCCCCATCCTGAAGCCCATCCCACCTACCAACAGGACCTCCATCTTGTCTGGATTGAGCCTCAGTTTATTGGCCCTCATCCAGCCCATTACCTCGGCCAGGCACTGGTTCAGTACAGCCACTGCCTCACCTGGATTAGTTGAGAACGAGAGGTAGAGCTGGGTATCATCAGTGTACTGATGATTCCGCAGCCCACACCTCCTAATGACCTTTCCCAGCGGTTTCATGTAGATGTTAAATAGCAAGGGGGACAAAATAGATCCCTGCAGAACTCCATGGCATAGCTGCCATGGCGCAGAGACATAGTCCCCCAGCACCACCTTCTGGAATCGGCTATTGAGATAGGAGCGGAACCACTGCAAAGCAGTGCCTCCAACCCCCAATCCCACTAGCCTATCCAGAAGTATACCATGGTCGATGGTACTGAAAGCCACTGAAAGGTCCAGGAGAACCAACAGGGACGCTCTCTCCCTGTCCCTCTCCCTGCACAGGTCATCGTACAGGGCAACCAAGGCAGATTCAGTGCTGTACCTGGGTCTGAAGCCGGACTGAAATGGGTCCAGATAATCAGTTTCATCCAAGAGTGCTTGGAGTTGTCCCTCCGCCACCCGCTCTAACACCTTGCTCAAAAACGGGATGTTGGCCAACAGTCTATAATTGACGGCCATCTCTGGATCCAGGGATGCCTTCTTTAGAACTGGCCGGACTACCGCCTCCTTTAAAGGGGCAGGTACCCGGCCATCCCTTAGAGAGGCGTTGACTACCTCCAGGATCCAGGTCCCTATCCCGTCCTTGGCTTTCTTGAGTAGCCAAGATGGGCAAGGGTCCAGTAAGCAGGTGGTAGGATGTACTTGTCCAAGCACCTTGTCCACATCATCAGGCCGCAACAACTGGAACTCATCCATCAATTGTGGACCAGATGGTAACATTGGAACCTCCCCCGAAGGTTCTGAGTCACTAGTGGAGTCCAGCTCATGATGAATCTGAGTGATTTTCTCCTTGAAATGCTTGGCGAAGTCGTCACAGCGGGTCTTCGAGGGTGGTACGAGATCTTTCTTTGCGCCTGGGTGTACCAGCCCCTGTACCACCCAAAAGAGCTCTGCTGGATGGCATTGTGAGGAGGCAATGGAAGCAGAGAAGAATTTCTTCTTTGCCGCCCTCACCGCCACAGCATACGTCCGATAATGGGCTCTCAAGTGAGTTTGGTCAGATTCATCCCGTGATTTCCTCCACCTACGCTCTAGACGTCTCCCAACCCGCTTCATCACCCGTAATTCAGGTGTATACCAAGGGATGAACGGGCTTTGCCAGGTGGAAGAGGACGCTTAGGAGCAATCGTGTCAATAGCCCTGGTCATTTCCCCATTCCATAGTTCGACCAAGGCATCGACAGGAGCACCAGCCTTAACCGGGAAATCCCCCAGGGCCTTCAGGAATCCATCTGGATCCATCCGGCTCTGGGGGCGGACCAGCACAATCGGGCCGCACCCTTGCAGACGGAAAGGCCGCTCTCGAGCTCAAGACTCACAATGAAGTGATCTGACCATGACAGGGGTGTCAGACACAAGTTCCCCACCCTCAGATCACCCTCTTCCTGCCCCATCGAGAAAACCAGGTCCAGAGTGTGTCCACGTTCTTCGTCGTGGCCTCTGTGCATCACACATATGGGTGCTGTGCCTGCGCAGTGCCTTTGGCCGGAAGATTGAGAGCTAACGGTTTTTTGGCAGGAAAGCTCCGCTCCCCCTCCCCCTGTAGCCTATAAAGAGCGGAGCGTCCGCAATTTTGTTCAGTCTTTGCGACCGCCGTTCACTGTGCCTCGTGCCGCTTTCGCTCTCACTCTGACCGTTGCTCGTCTTGTTTGTTCTCGATTGTTCTTCTCTCCCAGTTATTATAGCCCTGTTAGTACTAGTAGTTCTTGTAGAAATTCTTGTTCCTCTTAATAGTTCTCTGTTTTTTTCTATCGTTCTAACTCTCTTTCGATCTTCTATAAAAATAATAATAATAATAATAATACCAAAAATATATTCTTACCCTCTGCACTATCTTCTCTTTTTCCTTTTCTTACGATGGCGCAACGAGCGGCTTTCCGCAAGTGCGTGGAATGCAGGTCTAAGATGTCTCCTGCTTGTGGGAAGGGCATAGGACCAATAAGTGTTCTCACTGCCTGGCCTTTTCTAAACAGGGCAGGAAAAATCGTGAGAACCGCCTACGGAGGCTTTTGTGGGATCGGGCTCTTCTGCAGTCTGACCCACTAGTCACTGCTCCGAAGCCTGGCTCTTCCACTGCGCCTCTGCCCTCACGCCCTTCAGACGAAGGTGCGTCTACCATGGGCGCTCGGCCTGCTTCTCCAAAGAAGAAGCATGAGAAGTGCAAGCATGCCGATACCAACAAATCGGCAGACCACAAGAAAGTCAGGAAGGAGAAGGCTCCGAAGCCGCCAAAGAAATCTAAGGATCCAGAGCTTCCCAGGCACTGTGAGTTGGGTTCGACAGCTCCTTCGGTACCGTCTCCACCTGACCCGGTGTTTCAGGCGGCTATGAGGGTTACCCCTCAAGGGTCCCCTCGCCATGTGGCTGACCTTCCTCCTGAGCCTCTCCCAACTCTACCACGGGAGTCAATTTCTTATGGGGAGATTCAAGATTCTCTCCCTAGGGCTAGGTCCCCCAAACCTATGCCCGCAGCCACATTGGAGGTGGATGTGGAAATGTCCCCACCTAGGAGCCGGAGGAGTCGCTCCGTGGAACAGCGTTCGGAAGGATGGTACCGCTCCTACTACCAGGCTGGGGTGATCCGCATTCCGTCGGATGCTACCCTGGTCCCAGGGGTCGATCTTCATCAACTCCTCGCGACCGACCGCTGTCCTTGGGCCTGAGGCATGCGTCCCCGATACCTCCTTGGGATGAGAGTAGCCGGTCCTTCTCTCCGGCTGAGTCCTCTTCATCGGCTCCCCCATATTATCATGCTGATTCCGATGATTTGGAGGTCAATTCTACCTCCCCAGATGTCGCTGTGACCTCCCAGGGCCCTGCGTCACCTGATGAATCGCATGTCTCCTTCGCAGAGTTGATGTCCCGCCTTGTCCAGTCCCTTGAGATAGACGCCGTCCAGCATCCGGGACTGAGTACGGACAAGTTTTATGATGTCATCCGTGGGGTGCAATCTACATCAATCGTCCTGCTGCTGATCATCACCTTGCGACAGGCAATGACGCAACCCTGGGACTTGCCTGCTCACCCCCAACCGACTTCATGGAGGTACGAATCCATGTACCGGGTTTGGGAGGAGGACATACCCTTCCTCCTCTGCCACACCAAACCGAACTCGGTGGTGGTGGAGTCCTCCCAGGGCAGAGAGGCGAGAGGTCACACCGCACCGAGGGACAAGGAGGGATGGAAGATCAACTCCCTGGCCAGGCGAGTGTACACTGCCTCTGGCTTAGGGCTGAGATTTTCTAATTAAGAGGCGACACTTGCGAGGTATCAATACTTCATTATGCAGCGCCTCCATAACATTGTCTCAGGCCTCCCGGACCACCAGGGTGACCTGGCTAAGGTCTTCGTCAAGGAGGCGATGCAAGTTGCTGTCCAGCAGTTGTCCACTGCCCGACATC